GGTGGGATTATAGGGAATAGTTTACCCTCCCATCAGAAACACTGAAAAACTGGACGAAATATGTGAAACCTGGTACTCAAGACACTAGACATCAGGCAACGAAACAGAGATCCCTGAGAAATGGGGAACCAATGAGGTGAGCACTAGGACATCCCCAGATAACTGAGTAGGGTTTCCGGGCTGTGGGCTCCCTGAGCTGAGGAGATGGAGCTGGGAGTCAGGGAGATCGAGGTGGCTAAAGTTCACAGGATGAAGTGCCTGAGACCTCTTAGAGAGAGAAAAAAAAAACCCTAGACATCTGCAGAATTTTTATCTGAATTTTACCTGAGTAAAAACTCTAATTTCTACCAGAATACTGATCAGAACATGCATGTAAGGAAATTACCTGAAGCTGGGGAAAGAATCGATAAAACTACAAAGAGAAACAGAAAAATCCACAATTATAATAGTTTTGACACGCGTCTCTCAATAGAACAAGGAGACAGAAAATCAGTAGGGAGATTGAAGACTTGAACAGTGTGTGCCTACTGGACCTAACTGACATTTAAAACACTCCACCCGAGAACGGCAGAGTACACATTCTTTGAGAATGCGCCCAGAACATTTACCAAGACGGTCCATATTCCAGGCCTTAAAATGTCTCGATAAATTTAAAAGGATCCAAGCCGTACAAAATGTTTTAATCCAGAATGGATTAAATTAGAATCAGTAACAGAAAGGTAATTGGAAAATCTCCAAATATTTGGACCTCAATAGTACAATTTTTAGTAACCCATGGGTCAAAGGAGAAATCAAAAAGGAAAATACAAAGTATTTTGAATTGAACGAAACTTAGAACACAGAGTATCAAAATGTGCGGGATGCAGCTAACACAATACTTAGAAATAGAATAGCACTGTCTAAGTTATAAAAGAAAGCTCTCAAATCAATGACTTCAATTTCCACCTTAACAAGTTAGAAAATGAAGAGCAATGAAACCCACAGTTAGCATAAGAATGGAAATGACAAAGAATAGCAAGCAAATCGGAAACAGGAAACCAAAAAGCAGGTCAATAAAACCAAGAAATCTTCATTCAGACTGATCATGAAAAAAAGAGAAAACATGCAAGTTACCAGTATCTGGAATGGCAGAGGTCACATCACTACAAATTCTACAGTTATTAAATGGATAAGGGAATGTTTTGAACTTTATGCAAATCAATTTCACAACTTAGATAAAATGGAAAAAGCTTACTCAAGAATAGGTAACCAGAGCATCTCCATATCTATTAAAGAAATTGATTTGGTAATTTAAACCTTCCAAATATTCTTGGATATCTTGCTGTTACCACCAGTTTAGTTGTGTTATGGCCAGGGAATATACTTTATGATTACTATAATTTTTAAAAATGTATTAATATTTGTTTTATGGTCTCGATGAAATGTCTCATGTGTACTTGGAATGAATATATATTCTGCTCTTGTGGAGTGTTTTATAAATGTCAACCAGTTAAGTTGGTTGGTTGTGTTGTTCAGGTCTTCTATCCTCACTGATTTTCTGTCTACTTGTTCTATCAGTAACAAGAGAGGACTGGTGAAGTCCAATAATCGTGGATCTATTTGTCCTTTCTGTTCTTTTCTCCTCTGGGTAATTTGTGCTCTGTAGTTGAATGTGTATACATTTAGGATTGTTATGTTTACCTAGAAAAGTGATCCCTGTATTATGATGTAAGGTTTCTCTTTATCCATGATTTTTTTTTTTTTTGAGGAAGATTTGCCCTGAGCTAGCTACTGCCAGTCCTCCTCTTTTTTGCTGAGGAAGCCTGGCCCTGAGCTGACATCCGTGCCCATCTTCCTCTACTTTATACATGGGACGCCTGCCACAGCATGGCTTACCAAGCAGTGCCATGTCTGCACCCGGGATCCGAACCGGCAAACCCCAGGCCGCCGAGAAGCGGAACGTGCAAACTTAACCGCTGCGCCACCGGGCCGGCCCCTTTATCCATGATTAGATTGCTTGTTCTAAGTCTACTTCATCTGATATTAACATAGTGATTTTCAGTTTTTTTTATTAGAGTTTGCATGGTCTGTCTTTTCCCCACTATTTAACTTTTAAGTTATCTATCCCTTTATATTTAAAGTGGGTTTCTGCTAGACAGCATACAGTTGGGTCCTACCTTTTCAAAAAACTCAATCTTATAATCTCTTTTAACTGGTGTGTTTAGCCCATTCACATTTGATGTAATTTTTTATATATGTGGATTAAAATCTATCCATCCTCTTAACTATTTTTTAATTGTTCCATTTGTTTTTTGTTCTCTTTATGCCTTCTATTAGATTAACTGAGCATTTTTATTATTCCCTTTTATTGTACTAGCTAATTATTTCTCTTTTAAAACATTTACTGGTTACTCTAAGGTTTACAATATACATCATTAACCAGAATATATCTTCAAATAACATACCATTTAATAAGTAAAGATCTTACACAATGTATTCTCAACTTCTCCCTCCCAGCCCTTGTGCTATCATATATTTCACTTTTATATCTGCTATAAACACACAAAATCTCTTACTCTTTTAGACAGCTAATTATCTTTTAGATATTTAGGCTAAAAGAAAAATCACTTTACCTTCATTTATTCCATTTCCAGATGTCTTCATTTCCTTGTGTATATCTAAGTATCTGTTGTGTTTCAAATTCCTTCTGCTTGAAGAACTTCATCTAACATTTCTTGTAGAGTAGATCTTCTGGCAATCATGTATTCTGTTTTCCTTTCTCTGAGAGTCTTCATTTCTCTATCAATCTTGAAAGATATTTTCATGAAAAATTTCATAAAGATAACTTCTTTCAGCACTTTACAGATGTCATTATATTGTCCTCCAGCCTGCATTATTTCTTATAAGTCTGCTGTAATTATCTTTGTTTCTCTGTTTTGGTTTGGTTTTGTTTTGTTTTTTGCTGAGGAAGATTTACCCTAACATCTGTGCCAATCTTCCTCTATTTTGTATGTGGGCCACTGCCACAGCATGGTGACGAGTAGTGTAGGTCCACACCCAGGATCCAAACCTGAGAACTTGGGCCACCAAAGCAGAGTGTGCATAAGTTTAACCATTCTGCCATAGGGCCGACCCCCTGTAATTTTTTTAATTAATGTTTCTTAGTGTTCTCTGATTTTTTTTTTTTTTTGAGGAAGATTAGCCCTGAGCTAACTAGTGCCAATCCTCCTCTTTTTGCTGAGGAAGACTGGCCCTGAGCTAACATCCATGCCCATCTTCCTCTACTTTATATGTGGGACGCCTACCACAGCATGGCTTTTGCCAAGCAGTGCCATGTCCACACCTGGGATCCAAACCGGCAAACCCCGAGCCGCCAAGAAGTGGAACGTGCAAACTTAACCACTGCACCACTGGGCTGTCCCCTGAGTTTTACAGATTTGAGTTCTGGTGTCATTAGCCCTTATTTCTTCAAATATTTTTTCTGCCCCATTTCCTGTTCCTTCTGAGATCCCAATTATGTATGTGCTGGACCAACAGATCTTCTCCCACAGCTCTTGGATGGTCTGTTCTTCTCACCTTTTCTCCCCAATTTGTGTTTTAGTTTGGGTGATTTTTATTGACCCTAAAATTCAGTTATTCTTTCCTTGGCTGTGGCAAGCATATTGATGAGCCAGATGAAGGCACACTTCATCCCTGTTACTGCATTCCTCATTTCTAGTATTTCCATTTGATCCTTACAGTTCCATCACTCTGCTCACATGACCCATTTAATTTCCCCATTGTGCACATTTTCCATTAGAGCCCTTAATATATTACCCATTACTTTAAATTACCGTTACTTTAAATTCTGTGTCAAAGTCCAACAGCTATGTCATTTCTGAGTAGTTCTGGACTGCCTTGTCTCTTGGTGGGGGGGGATGGGTATTGATCTTTCTCGCATTTTTGTATGCCTTATAATTTTCTTTTCTGCCAAAAGCTAGATATCTTGTGTAGGACAGTAAAAACAGAGGTAAAAAGATTTAATTCCTAAAAGTGCTCATATCATTCCTTCTGTTAAGCCTTTAGTGTGTGTGTGTATGCATGTGGGGTAATTCATTAACACAGTCAGAAATTGGACTACGTTTAAGGTTTGCTGCTCGTGGTTACCCTAAGTTCAAAGCCACAGTCTTCAAACATCAACAGTGATTCCTTAGAATGACGATTGGTTTTCCCAAGGGTTTATCTCAATGTCTGGGTCACCCTCGGGTGTTCCCTTTGGATTATGCCTCAGAGACAGTCCAGCTATACTATTTCATTCATTCATTCAACATTTGAGTGCTTACCACTTATGTCCCACTGTACTAAATGCTTGAACTTCTAACTCCCCATTCTACTACCCTCTGCCGTTATTTTGTGCATCTGTACTTCTCTGTTTGCCTTCAATAGCCTTCCAACTTTTGTGTGCCTAGTAAACTCCTGTTCTTTTTTAATACTATCACCACCTCCAAAAGCAATCCCTGGCCCCATGCCTTCCCATCACCCTAGGTTCATCATCCTCTATACTGCTTGTCTACCTTAAACATGTTTCCATATTTAAATAAGCTATATTTTCTAGTAAAGTGTAAGTGTCTGCAGGCAAGAACAGTCTTATCAGTTTATCTTACATAAGTTAGGTTTGTGACGTTGATTTGGAACCAACCTCTCTGGCACATTGGCAGAAGAATTAACAACATAGAGGAGTGTGTGTATAGACGGGGAGGAAGAAAAGACAAGACTTTCTATGCGACTTCTCTGTGTTATTTGCTCCAAGCATTGATTTTTTTATGATTTTACAGAACTAACAAGTTTAAATGGAAAATCCATTATTCTGTTATCCTGTATGCATGCTCACCCTTCACAAATCTGGTTGTTGTTTTCTCAGTTGTGGTCAAAGTTTGAGTGACCTAATCCATGTGGCCACACATTCTACAAAGTTGTCTTAAAATATGGCTGTCCTCAATAATAGCTTCTGCAGTAGATAAACACACAGAGGAATCCAAGTGTATACAACACAACCACAAAAAAGAGCTCTTATTTTATTCCTTGCATATTTCACACAAGCTGGAAAGAGGGACTGAAAGCTATTATATAGGATGAACAGCTGACAGGAAAAGAGCCTGATACACAAATCCAGGGTTTCACCCATGTCTTGGTCAGCGTGGGCTGCCATAACAAAATACCATAGACCGTGTGACTTAAAAGAAATTTCTCACAGTTCTAGAGGCTGAAAGTCCGAGATAAGGATGCCAGCATGGCTGGATACAGGTGACAGCTAGCTTCCTGGCTTGCACAGCTGCCTTCTGGCTGCCTTCCTCACATGGCAGAGAGAGCAAGCTCTCTAGTGTCCCTTTTTTAAAAGACACTAATCCTACCATGAAAGCCCCAACCTCATGACCTCATCAAAACTAAGTAACTCCCAAAGGCCCCATTTCCAAATACAATCACATAGCGTGTAGGGCCTCAACATAAATTCTGGGGGGACACATTCAGTCCATGACATTCCATTCTGCAGACTAGTGTTCTTACATAAAAATACCAATGTTATTCATACAAATATAGACAAATTTCTTTTCAAATAAAACAATAATTTCTCTCGGCTCTGAAGTTCCTTGCTCCTCAGAACATCCTACCTTTTTTCCTATTAGCCCATCTCAGGCTTGTTAGAGTCTCCATACCGTGAAGATCATGTACCTTCACATCCACGGAGTCAGGTGCTAACGACTCTACTGCTCCACACAATTGAGTGCTATCTTTATCCACATAAAGACTCACTCTTCTTTATGCTGATCCCAGAAGTTTCTATCAGCTAAAAACAGCACCCTCATTTTCCAGGAAGTCCCTTACATGTGACAGTTATAGTTTTAAGGGACAAACTCAAACTCTTCCTTCAGGTGACCTTAAATCAGGCTCAAAGCCCCATCCACAGAAATGGACTTCACAACTCCACTTTGTTGCACACGACCAATGAAACAGCTTTAAAACCTACCCTCAGAACAAAATGTCAGTGACTCTTATCAAGTGAAGAATGATACTCATTAAAAATGACTGATCCAATCATCTGACACACTAGTATGAAATTAAGACCTACAATAAGGCCATTACCTTAGCTGATTTAAAATGCTCAGGTCAAAAGTCACCAATGACTTTTACTCTTTGGCATTCAAAGTGGGACACATCAACAAATAGTCCAAAATTTATGTTATAGACAAACTTTATGTTACAGAAAAATGCACTTTTCCCATGCCTCTGCCTCACTCTTTGCTTTCACATAATTAAAACAGCTTCAGGCTTTTCCCTCAGAATGTGAATTCTGATGTCGAATCAAGGATGAGCTCCGACTATATGCCTTCCCACATTTCCTACATTCATAGGGTTTCTCTGAAGAATGACTTCTCTGATGCCGAATAAGATCAGAGCCACTGCTAAAGGCCTTCCCACACTCATTACATTCATAGGGCTTCTCTCCAGTATGACTTCTTTCATGCAGAATAAGGGATGTGCGTTGACTAAAGGACTTCCCACATGTTTTGCACGTATATGGTTTCTCTCCAGTGTGAATTCTTTCATGTTGGGCAAGGTGTGCACTCTGACTGAAGGCCTTCCCACACTGATCACATTCATAGGGTCTGTCTTCACTATGAATTCTCTTATGTCGAGTAAGAGAGATGCGATGACTGAAGGCTTTCCCACACTCCTCACATTGATAGGGTTTTTCTCCAGTATGAATTCTCTGATGTTCAATAAGAAATGACTGGCGACCAAAAACTTTACTACATTTATTACATTTGAAAGGTTTCTCTTCAGAATGAACGTTCTGATGTATTTTAAGGTTGGCAGTTCCAGAAAACATCTTCCCACATTCCTTACATTCAAACAGTTTCTTTTTCTTTGTATGCACTTTTTGATGTTGAATAAGGGATGAATGCCGGTTACAGATCTTCTCACATTTATTGCATCTATAGAGTTTCTTTCCAACATGAAGTCTCAGATGTAGAATAAGGGTTGAAGGCCGCCTGAAGACCTTCTCACATTTATCACATTTGTAGGGTTTCTCTGAAGTGTGAATTCTCTGATGAAGCATAATGGATGAAATCCTATTGAAGGACTTTCCACACTTTCTGCATTTATAAGGATTCTCTAAATGGTGACTTCTCTGCTGTAGACTCTGACTTAAGGTCTTCCCACTTTCATGGGTTTTCTCTCCAGTATGAATTCTTTCATGTGTAACAAGGACTGATTTCTTACTGAAGCCTCTCCCACATACACTGCATTTATGTACTTTCTTTCCATTGTGAATTTTCCTATGAAGTAAAAGGGATGACATTCGAATGAAGGCTTTCCCACATTTTCTGCACTGGTGGACATTCTCAACAAAGTGCATTTTCTGATGGATACTGAGAGATGGGCATTGACTCAAGGCCTTCCCACAGTCAAAGGTTTCCTTTCCATCATGAGTTTTCCCATGTAGAATGAGGGTTGTTCTTTGAATGAAGCTTTCCCCACATTTATCACATTTATGGCTTTTCCTCCGATTGTGAATTCTCTGATGAAGAATGAGGGATGAGATCTGCCTGAAAGCTTTTCTACAATTACTGCATTCATAAGGCTTCTCTCCTGTATGAGAGTTCTGATGAAGTTTAAGAGATAAGCTTTGACTAAAGATTTTCCCACAGTCATTACATTTTAAAGATTTCTTCCCTGAATGCACTTTCTTGGGTTTTACCAGGACTGAATTTTTCTTGCAGCCCCTCTTTCCTGTGGAAACTTTTTGTGGCACAGAAACTGGTTTCTGATAGATGCTTTGCCTAGATTTGTTGCACTGATTTGGAGGTAACTTCTTGGTCTCACACTTAGACCCTGAGTCTGAAAGACATCAAGAAATTAAATGTTTGTTTTTCTGGGCTGGAAAAACGAAGCTTCTGTGAAGTCATTATCATTATCAGTTATAATAACAATGATGTTAACCAGAACAATAACTTTTTAGTGTCTTATTATGGTTTTAACATAGTAAGGAATTTATAGAAATATTTAAAAACTAGAATTTAGGAAAGTTTGCAATTTTAAATGAATAAAGTTTTATTTGTAGGATAAATTTATACCATATATCGCATTAAACTTCATAGGTTGTTCATTAGATGAATGTAGTTTTATTATATGAAATTCCAGAAAAGACAGAAGATAGCATACAGGCAGAAGGCAGATTAGTGGTTGCCTGGAGCTGGAGGTGGGAAGGGGGATTCACTGTAAATGGGCATGAGGGCTCCTACTGGAGTGATAAAAATGTTCTAAAACTGGATTATGGTGATGGCTGCACAACTTGGCAAATTTATCAAAAACTAATGAATTACACACTTAAAATGGGTGAATTTTACAATACGTAAATTATGCCTCAATAAAGTTGTAAATTTAAAAAATGTATTCTTAAAATCAAAAATTAAAAATAATAACCAAACCAGACTTCTGGTTTGTGGTTCCTCATCTAAGAAGCCTGGAAGTTGCCACTTCATCCTAGCAACAAATAAAAAGCTAAACAGACTATAAAACCAAGAACTCCTTTAGGATCCACAAGAGAAGGGAGGATGCAGGGCAAACTGCCGCCTCCAAGACTGGAGAGACAGACTGAAGAATACAGGGAGTCGCACCTTAGCAGAGCAGAGACTCACAAGCAAAACCACCATGGGAACCTGTGCTGTGGTAGGAAAACCTGAACTGTAACTGACAAATTGCTGGAGGCTCAGTGCTGACAAGTCTGAGAGTTAAAAACTCCAGAGGGAGCTAATCATAAGGGGATCTCTAAAATACTGCGAGATTTACCTTTAGGAGTTTGATCAGAGTCTCACCATAAATATCGGAGAAAAATCCTCTTGGGCTGCCAGCAGGGGAAGGGGAAAAGAAACCATTTTTGAAATATGCCAGAGCACTCTGTTCCTCTTAACAAGGTTTGCCCTCAGGGGAAACTAGTTAACCAGAGCCAACTCTGCTGAGGTATTCTCAGAGCCTAACTGACCTGGGAAAGGGAGATACCCAGCTCCAGCTGACTCTAGCCTCCCAAGTGGGAGAAAGGAAATATCCAACTCCAGCCCACTCTACCCATCCTGTTCCACCTAAGGGGGGAGAAAAAAACAAACACTTGTGATGTTCACATTCCACAGGCGCAGGCTCACTAAAACACTGAGAGCTAATCATAGGACCACAGAATGCTCCCCCTCCTGCCAGACCTCACCACATTACTAAAGGCCTATTTACAGCAGTTCTTTCTAACTGGTACATCATGTTTGGCTATGAAGAAAAAATTAAAAGGCATACCAAAAGTAAAAAACACAATTCGAAGGGGCAAAGCAAGCATAAGACTCAGATATGGCAGGGATGTTGGAATTATCAGATTAGGAAATTAAAACAACTATGATTAATATACTAAGGACTCTAATGGATAAAGAACAGATGGGAAATGTAAAGCTGAGAGATGGAAATAAGGAAGAACCAAAATGAAATGTTAAAAGATCAAAAATGCTATAACAGAAATGAACAGTGTCTTTAATGGGCTTATTAGTAGGTGTGACACAGGTGAGGAAAGATTCTGTGAGTTAAAGGATTTATTAATAGAATTCTCAAAAACTGGAAAGCAAAGAGAACAAAGACTGAAATAACAGAACAGAACATCCAAAGACTGTGTGACAACTACAAAAGAAGTAACAAATGTGTAAAGGGAATACCAGAAGAAGAGAGAATAGAAGAAACATTTGAAACAATAATGACTGAGGATTTCCCCAAATCAACATCAGACACCAAATCACAGATCCAAGACACTCAGAGAACATCAAGTAGGATAAATGCTAAGAAACCCACACCTAGGCATGTCATTTTCACACTGAAGAAAGTTAAAGAAAAAATCCTGAAAGAAACCAGAGGAAAAGAAAACCTCACCTAGAGAAGAACAAAGATAAGCATTACATCCAACTTCTCCTCAGAGACCATGCAGGCAAGAAGAGAGCAAAGCGAAATATTTAAAGTATTGAAAGAAAACAACCCACCAACCTAGAACTTTCCGTACCCTGTGAAAATACATGTACACACCCATATATACACACTCAAGATAAATACATAAGCATACACTGTTGTGATTATTATTTTGAACAAACTGTTATCTGTTAGACCAATTAAGAATAAGAAAAATAAACGGTTTTTTTTGCTTTCAATTATTCCTTCTCCAATGCTCCTCGTTTCTATATGCAGATCTGAGTTTCTGACCTATTTTATTTTTTTCTCCCTAAAGGACTTCTTCTAACATTTCTTGCAAGGCAGGTTTACTGGCAATAAGTGCCCTCAATATTTGTCTGAGAAAGTCAATTTCTCTTTTACTTTTGAAGGATAGGCTTATATATAAGTGAAGTGAACGAAAGCAATAATACAGGGGATAGGAGGGAGAAATTAAGGTTATTTTGTTATTATAAGATACTCACACTACCCATGAAGTGGTATAGCGTTACCTGAAAGCGGACTTGGACTAGTTGTAAAGGTATGTTGTAAACTCTAGGGTTTGCAACAACTGAAAAAAAAAAAAGTATAAGTGATACAAGGACAGAAAATATCATCATATAAAATGCTCATTTAAAACCACAAAAGGCAGAAAAAGAGTGGTAGACAAAAACAGGAACAAAGAATAAAGGCAACAAATAGAAAACAGCAATGAATATGGTAGATGCTAATCCAACCATATCAATAATCACTGTGAATGTCAACGATCTGAATGTACCAATTAAAAGGGATTGTCAGAATGGATCAAAAAACATGACTCAACTGTTATGTTGTCTACAAGAAACTCACTTTAGATAAAAAGACACACATGGATTAAAAGTAAATGGATGGAGAAAAATATACCATGTTAACAATAATTGAAAGAAAGCAGGAGCAGCTATATTAATTTCATACAGAGCAGACTTAAAAGCAAGGAAAGTTATCCTGGATAAAGAAGGGCATTATATAATGATAAAGGGGTCAATTCCTCAGTGAGACATAATTCTTAACAAATACATGCCTAACAAAGGAGCATCAAACTACATGAGACAAAAACTGATGAAACCACAAGGAGAAACAGATAAATTCACTACCTTAGTTGGAGACTTCAACACCCCTTCTCTCTGAAATAGATCCAGCAGGCAGAAAATCAGTAAAGGATACAGTGAACTCAACCACACCATTATTCAACTAGATATAACTGACATCTATAGACTACTTCATCCAACAACAGCAGAATTCACATTATTCTCAAGCTCACATGGAACATTCACCAAGATAAACTATACTCTGGGCCATAAAACACAACTTAATAAATTGAAAAGAACAGAAATCATACAATGTTTGCTCTCAGACCACAATGGAATTAAATTAGAAATCTGTAACAGAAAGATCATTGGAAGCCCCAAAATACTTGGAGATTAAGCAACACACTTTTAAATAACACATGGGTCAAAAAAGAAATCTGAAGGGGTCAGCCCAGTGGTGCAGTGGCTAAGTTTGCATCTTCTGCTTCGGTGGCCCAGGGCTCGCCGGTTCAGATCCTGGGTGCGGACATGGCACCACTCCGTGGGCCATTCTGTGGCAGGTGTCCCATATATAGAGTGGAGAATGGGTGTGGGTGTTGGCTCAGGGCCAGTCTTCCTCAGCAAGGGGAGGAGGATTGGCAGCAGATGTTAGCTCAGGGATAATCTTCCACAAAAAATAAAAATAAAAAAAATTTTTTTTAAATCTGAATAGAAATTAAAAAATATTTTGAACTAAATGAAAATGAAAACAACCTATCAAAATGTGTGGGATGCAGAGAAAGCAGTGCCGAGAGGGAAATTTATGGCACTGAATGCACATATAAGAAACAAGGATCTAAAATCAATAATCTGGGGCCAGCCCAGTGGCCGAGTGGTTAAGTTCGTGCGCTCCGCCTTCAGTGGCCCAGGGTTTCGCTGGTTCGGATTCTGGGCATGGACATGGCACCGCTCATCAGGCCACATTGAGGCAGTGTCCCACGTGCCACAACTAGAAGGACCCACAACTAAAAAAAATATATAAAACTATGTACCGGGGAGACTGGGGGAGAAAAAGCAGGGGGAAAAAAAAAGATTAGCGACAGTTGTTAGCTCAAGTGCCAATCTTAAAAAAAAATAAAAAAATAAAAAATAAAATCAATAATCTAAATCTCCCCCTTAGGAAACTAGAAAAAGAAGAGCAAATTAAATCCAAAGTAAGCAGAAGAAAAGAAATAATAAGAATTAGAGCAGAAATTGCAAACAGGAAATCAACTGAGAAATACTATAAAACAAAAGCTGGTTCTTTGAAAGTTAATAAAACTGATAAGCCTCTAGCTAGGCTAACTAAGAAAAAGAGAGAAGGCACAAATTACTAATATCAGAAATGAAAGAGGGGACATCACTACAGATTTTACAGAAATTAAAAGGATGATAAAAGAAAAAAGAACAACTCTATGTTGAGAAATTTGATAACCTAGGTGAAACTGACCAATTCCTTAAAAGACACAATTTGCCAAAATTTGCATAAGAAGAAAGAGATGATCTGAATAGGCCTCTATCTATTAAAGTAATTGAATCAATAATTAGTAACCTTCCAAAACAGAAAGCACCAGGCCCAGATGGGTTCACTGGTGAATTCTACCAAGGGAAGAAATCATACCAATTCTCCATCATCTCTTTCAGAGGACGGAAACAGAGGGAATACCTGCTAACTTCATTGTAAGAGGCCATCATTACCTTAATAATACCAAAACCAGAAAAGACACCAAAAGGAAACTACAGACCAGTATCCTTGATGAGTATCGATGCAAAAATCCTAAATATATAACAGCACATTAAAAGGATCCTACACATGAGGAAGTGGGATTTATACCTAGAATGTAAGGATAGTTCAATATGGGAAAATCAATCAATGTAATACATCACGTTAAAAAAATGAAGGACAAAAGCTACATGATCTTCTCAATTGATGCAGAAAAAGCTTTTGACAAAACTCAACATGATAAAAACACTCAACAAACTAAGAATAGAAAACTAACTCAATATAATAAAAGTCATCATTGAAAAGCCCATAGCAAACACCACAGTAACTGGGGAAAGATTGAAACCTTTTCCTCTAACATCAGGAACAAGGCAAAGAATGCCCACTCCACCGCTACTATTCGATGTAGTACTGGAAGTTCTAGCCAGAGCAATTAGACAAGAAAAATAAAAGCCATAAAAAAGGGAAAAGAAGTAAAATTTTTCTCTGTTCACAGACAACATCATTTTATATGTAGAAAATCCTAAAGATTCCACACAGAAAAATTGTTAGAACCAATAAACGAGTTCAGTAAAGTGGCAGGATGTAAGACCAACACTCAAAAATCAGTTGCGTTTCTATACACTAACAAGGACCACTCCAAAAAGGAAATTGAGAAAACAATCCCATTTACTAAAGCATCAAAAAGGATAAAATATTTAGGAATAAATTTAACCAGAGGTGAAAGACCTGTAGACCAAAAACTACGAAACATTGCTAAAAGAAATTAAATAAGATACGAATAAATGGAAAGACATCCTGTGCTTGTGGATTGGAAGACTCAATATTGTAAAAATGTCCATACTACTCAAAGTGATCTACAGATTCAACGCAACCCCTATCAAAATCCCAATGACACTGTTTGCAGATATAGGAAAAAACAAGTCCTAAAATTCATATGGAATCTCAATGGACCCCAAATACCCAAAGCAATCTTGAAAAAGAGGAACAAACTTGGAGGCCTCATACTTCCTAGTTTCAAAACACACTACAAAGCAACAGTAATTAAGATGGTGTGGTAATGGCATAAAGATAGATATATAGTCCAATGGGAGAATAAAGAGGCCAGAAATAAACCCTCACACATCTGGTCAAATGATTTTCAACAAGGGTGCCAAGACTACACAATGGGGAAAGGACAGTCTCTTCCACATAAGGTGTTAGGAAAACTGGATATCTACATGCAAAAGAATGAACCTGGACCTTGCCTTACACCATAAACAAAAATTAACTCGAAATGGGTTAAAGGCCTAAATGTAAGACCTAAAACTACTAAACTCCTAGAAGAAAACATAGGGGAAAAGCTTCAGGACATTCGATTCAGCACTGATTTCTCAGCTATGACACCAAAAGCACAGGCAACAAAACAAAAAATAGACAAATGGGACTACATCAGACCTAACTTCTGCATGTCAAAGGAAACAATCAACACAGTGAAAAGGCAACCTCCAGAATGGCAGAAAATAATTGCAAATCATAACTGATAAGGAGTTAATATGCAGAACATATAAGGAACTTCTACAACTCAACAATAAAACACAAATAACCCTATTAAAAAATGGACAACGGACTTGAATAAACATTTCTCAAAAAAAAGACAAATGGCCAATAAATAAATGAAAAGATGCCTACCATCACTAACCATTAGGGAAATGCAAACCAAACCCACAATATCACCTCATACCCATAAGGATGGCCACGATCAAAAAACCAGAAAATAACAAGTGTTGACGAGGATGGGCAGAAGCTGGAACCCTTGTGCACTGTTGGTGGAAACGAAAAATCGTGCAGCCACTGTGGAAAACAATATGAAAGTTCCTCAGAAAATTACAAATAGAAATACCATAAGATCCAGCAATCCCACTTCTGTAGATAGCCAAAGGAACTGAAATCAGGATCTCCAAGAGATATCTACACTCCCATGTTCACTGCAGCATTATTCACAGTTGCCAAGAGGTGGAAGCAACCCAAATATCCATTGATAGATGAATGGAAAAAGAAAATGTGGTATATACACATAATGGAATATTATACAGCCTTTAAAAATAAGGAAATTCTGTCACATGCTACAACATGGATGAACCTTGAAGACATTACGCTAAGCAAAAAAGCCAGTCACAAAAGATCAAATCTTGTATGATTCCACTCCTATGAAGAATCCACAGTAGAAAAATTATAGAAACAGAAAGTAGAAAGGTGGCTACCAAGGGCTGGGGAGAGAAGTAAGGAAGAATTAGTATTTAGTAGGTATGGAGTTTTATCACTGAAAGATGAAAAGTTTCTAGAGATCTGTTGCACAACAATGTGAATATACTTAACCCTACATTTAAAAATGGTTAAGAAGGTAAATTTAATGTTTTGTGTGTTCTTTACCACAATTAAAAAAAAAAAACCATATAACTTGACGAACCAAAGAGGAATCTATTAGAAAAGGGAATGAGTTCCTGAAAAGTAGTCAAAATGAACATTTATGGAAAAGACTTTAATTTTTTTAAGGAATGAAGAAAATGATGCAAGTTTGAACATTACCATTAAAAGTGCTATCATTAGAGAAGGTGGAATACGTTTTCTCTGAAGGGAAATATGAAAGCTGAGGAAGGGAAAGTGATAGGTGGAGATGAGGGGGTTAAGAGCTGAGCTTCTAAAACCAGTAGCTGGGGTTCAAACCCAGCTCTGCTGCCACCTCCTAGCTGGGTGACCTTGGGCAAGTCATTGAACCTCTCTGGTTCTCAGTTTCCTCATCTATAGAAGAGGAATAATAGTACCTACTGTATAGGGTGCTGGGAGAAACTTATACTTAGAAGAGTGCCTGATACCTAGTAAGAGCTTATTAAATGTTGGTTATTCTCCCTCTGGGGGCTCGTACTGAAGAGACTTGAATTTTCTGCACAGGCTTGAGGCCATGGAGGTGAGGAAAGTAGCTCTCCAATATTGTCTCAAAGAGGCTGCCCTCTCACGATGGAGTGCACTCTTACACGGAAACCCACCTTCTAAGCCTTGATTCTGTCACTCACCCAAGCCCCGGCGTCTCCTCACTGGCTCCACCATCCAGGGCGCTTTCCCTTTCTCCAATAAGGTGATCACATTTGGCCTCCGAAAGGAAAGTCCTGCACACGGGAAAAACATTGGAATTGAGCATGATGGGGGTGCCACAGATGTCAGAGCCCAGCCCTGTGTCAACAGGAAAGGGGCTTTATTAGCAAAGGGAGCACAGAGGATGCAAAGGGCAGGTGGAGAATGAGGAGGATGAAAGTTCAGTTACAGCTGGCAGAGTTGTTTATTTCTAACTCTACAAAGCCAACTATTTTCCTAAAAAGTGGGACCCCAAACTCCTGAGGCTGGTTAACCTATTGCCTTTTAGCTTCCAGCCACACCCCTCCTTGATCTGTTTGGTGGTGCAGGGGCTCTGCAAGCCACACTTCTTTTTCGCCAGGTGCTCCCTGTCAGGGTCCACCAATGGGGCTCTGGTGGTTTCAATTTCTGCTTTTCTTTTTCAGCCTGCACTCCCAGAATTAGCCTCATCTTGCCCTCACAGGAGTATAAACCAACCAGACAGTGCACCCCTCTCCTCCTTCAGAAGTCTGAGTCTCTTCCTCTAAGTCCTAAGACCCCTAACTCTTCCCTTTGTCCCCCTAGCCCTGCAGTTACCATCTCTGTTAATTCATTGTCTACTATTCATCTTTTAACAGTACCCGTTAAGTCAATTCCTTATATAAACTTCTCTCTCCTCAAGAGGTTACATGTATAGTTACTATATGACCAACAATTCTACTTCTAGGTATCTACCCAAGAGAAACGAAAATACATGCACACACAAAAACTGGTACACAAATGTTCATAGCAGCATATTCATAGAAGCCATGGAGTGGAAACAGTGCAGATGCCCATCAACTGATGAATGGATAAAATATGTAGAATATCGTTTGACCATAAAAAGAATGAGGTACTGACACATGAAACAATGCAGGTGAACCTCAAAAACATGTTAAGTGAAAGAAACAAGAAACAAAGGACTACATATTTATGATTCCATTTCTATGAAAGGCCAAGGATAGGCAAATTCATAGACAGAAAGTGGATTAGTGTTTGCCTACTTGGGGGCGATTAGTGGGCAGTGGGAAATGAGGATGACTGCTAATGAGTAGGGAGTTCCTTTTGGGGGTAATGAAAATGTTCTAAAATTAACTGCGGTGAAGGACGCACAACTCTGTGAATACACTAAAAACCACTACCCTACTTTATATGGGTGAGTTGCATAGAATGTGAATTCCATCTCAATAAAGCTGTTAAAAAAACCCAAAACTGGAGTGGCTTCTGTTTTCCTGACTAGACTGATGACTCCTGTCCCTCAGTGAGCCAGCTGTGGATTACGCGGGGAGGAGAGCCTTACCAAGAGAGGCCAGGGTCTGGTAGTTCTCCAACATTACATCTTCGTATAGTGCTTTCTGAACGGGGCTCAGCCATTCCCACTCCTCCTGGGAGAAGTAAATGGCCAAATCCCCAAACGTCACTGGCGCCTGAAATGGAAAATCACATGTCCTTTCACCGTGGGCTTGTGCTTCCACGTGGCTGAAGGAAATGGCGGACTTGTCCCAAAACATGGGAGACACATAATGCCAAGAATCTATCCGGGAAACATTTGAGGTTCTGAAGCCAAAAGGGGCAGGTGTATTAAATAAAATAAATAAACAACGACTATGACACAGCTGTTATTAAAGACTTGCACAAAAAACACAGCAACTTGGATTTACCGGGCATCGACAAAGTCAAGGCATCTTTCTGAGCACCCTACACATACTGGCTCATTTAGTGCTTGTGTTAGCCCCTGATGAGGTATTGCTGAGAAAATCACAGCAATGTTACAGACGAGGAAACTGAGGCCCAGAGAGCTAAGGTGACTTACTGAAGTTCTCAGGGCCAGTGAAGGAGGAGCTGGGGTGGAAGCTGGCAGTCTGACTTCTGAGTCTTGCTCCTGACCACTTGCTCTCTAAAGAGCATGGGACTATGTTACATGCAGCAAAAGGTTCTTTGCAGATGTAATCAAGGTTACTAATCAATTGACCTTAAAAGGAGATAATCCAGGGGGGCCCAAGGCAGTTAATCACAGGGGCCCACGAGAGCAGATTTTTCTCCTGCTGGTGGCAGAAGAGGAGAGCAGAGAGGGAAGTGGGGGGATCTGAAGCACCAGTGCGATTTGACCTGCTGTTGCTGGCTTGAAGGTGGAAGAAGGGGGCCACCCGGAAAAAGCGAGAAGGAACTGAATTCTGCCAATAACCAGGGAGTTTAGAGGAGGACCCATGAGACCACAGCCAGCCAACACCTTGATTTCAGCCTTGAGACCCAAAGCGGAGGACCCAGGTAAGCCATGCTGTGCCCAAACTCCACCCATGAACTGTGATGATCAACATGTGCTGCTTCAAGCTGCCAAGTTTGCGGCAATTTGTTACAGCAGCAATAAGGAACGAATAACATCGCTTAGAGGGCAGTAGCTTCTGTTACAAGAAATCGCATTCAAGACGCTTATTGCAGGAAATCCCTTGACCATCTAAAGCGGTGAAGCACGCTTCTCACAGGAAGCTGACGTCACCCCTTCGCTGGCCTGGCTCCAACGAACTCAACCTGAATACGGGGCTACACGGAGTCTCTTAAAGAGATTTCCTCCATGTAAATATGGGTTCCACGAGGAAAACAAAGTGACATTAAGAGAACTCTGGAGGACAACATCAAATCCCCTCTGCCTCAGCAGGTCCCACCCAGGCACACGTGTCCACCTGGATGTCACAGGGGCTCTCGTCTTCCCTTGAATGCCCTGGGGAGGGCCTTCCTCCCAGCACTGGCAGAGACCCTGGAGATGCTGAACAAACAGGAAAGTGGTCATGCGCACATTGAGAAAAGAGGAGAGGGGGCTGCTGGGTGGTCTCCTGGCTCGCTGGGGCCCTTCTCACAGGCTCCCAGCCTCTGTGCTGATGGGAGGAAACAGGGCCAGGTCTTGGCTGGTCTCCCCTGGCCAGGAAGTTTCCATGGGAGGAAAGCAAATGGTCATGTCTCACAAGATGGCACTTTCCTGAAGGAAGAGGAATCGCTACTTACCTTGGACCTGGATTTCCCTCGTGCAGCAGGCATCCTGTCCTCGCCCCTGAGGGGCCGCGTTTGGAGAGGGGCAGCGTGCTGGGGAGGTGGGGCTGCAGGAGAAGAGAAGTCATGAGGCTGATGGGGACTTCTAAGCAGTCCCAGAGTCTCTAGGGTAAGAATCTCCTCAGCCTGGTCACACACACACGTACACACACACGTGCACAGACACACTTGGAGGAAGGTCAGAGCACCTTGTGCAGCATTTCTTCCCTTTCTCAGGGTCAGGGAGGGACCACAGCCAATGCTACCTGCTCCAAGGATCAGAGGGCTCTGCATCAGGAGGCAAATGAGACCTGCGTAGACACCTGTTCATCCATTTGACAAGTATTTGCTGAGTGCCTACCAGGTGCCAGGTACTGGCCCAGGTGCTGGGCGGTAAGCAATGAGTTAGAGTGGAGCAGTACCAGCTCCCACGCACACTACGTTCCAGCAGGGAAGACAGGCCCACGTAACAAAGTGTTAGCTGCGATCATTGCTATGAAGAAAAAAAGGACCAGGGCAGGCGGGGAGTGAAGAGGTTTGGAGGAAGGCCTGTGAGAGGAGGCAACACTGAGCTGAGTCTGCATGGAGTGCGAGTATGAGCCACCTGGGCACTGGGAGAGGAGTATTCTGGGGAGAGGTACCACAGGTGCAAAGGCCCTGCGGCAGACGTGTACCTGTCATGTGGAGGAACCAAGTGGGTAGGTGTGCTGAAGCAGAGTGAGGTAGGGAACAGGGGGCTAGGAGGAGGCTGAGGTCAGGAAGGGTCAGATCATGAAGTGGGGGTGAGCAGTTTGGAAATGACCCTAAGTGTGACAAGACATTACTGAGGGAGCAGGAGGCTGGGCAAGGAGTGACATATCCGAAGTACCATTTAACAAAACTGTTTTGCATGGCTCTGTGGTGAAGAAACTGTGTGCATGCTGGTGGGGGAGGAGCAAGAGCTGAAGAGACTCACTAGATACTGGGGCGGGCAGAGGGGAGGCGCGAGATGCCGGACATCACTCCGAGGGAGGCCCCTCCGTCGCCGAGTCACCTCCACCGGTGCTGTCCAATGCACATGCCACTAGCCACATATGACAACTGAGTTCTGGAAACAAGGCTACTGCAACTGAGGAAATGAGTGCTTAATTTTACTTAATTTCAATTATTATTAAAACCACAAGAAAATAATATTAAAATTACTCAACTAAAACTTATTATTAATCTAAAATTAAAAACTGATCCTCAATTCTGTTTCCGTAAAACTTTTAAGCATGTTTCGAACAACTTGGGTGTGTGAATCTATTTTTCCAATGGTAAATGTTATGAAATTCAAATATAGATCAAGCATCTCCAATGAAAACAGTGTCTGGATTGAGGCGCACACATGTGAGAGACACAGCGAATTTCAAAGACTTAGTGTGAAAAAAAAGAACGTAAAATATCTCAGTGGTAATTGTTTATATTGACTACATGTTGAAACTGTAACATTTCGGACATATTGAGTTAAATAAAATGCATTATTAAAATTAACCGTGATCATGAATTTCTGTGTCTTCTTACTGTTTTCAATGTGGCTGCTGGAAGATTTACGTTCCATGCCTCACGTTACGCTTCCCTGGGACAGCGCTGCCCCCTACTACAGAGTCTATACTATTCTACTGCTCCGTTTTCTGCACGGCACTCACTGCCTCCTGGAAACGGCTTGTGTAAGCGTGTGTTTGCACGGGCACTACCCCCACCGTGACCAGGGCTCCACGAGAGCAGGCACCTTGACTGCTCTGTCCACGGCTCTCCTCCCGGTGCTGAGAGAGCAGCCAGCACAGAGCGGTGCTCAAGAAACACCTGCTGACTCACTCAATGCCAGCTCTGAATGCTTCCTGGCATGCTGAAATCGGGGTGGGGAGCAACCATCCTACGCCAAGACCCCGTCACAGAGCAACAATTCTGCTAGCAGTCCTTCCAAGCCCTCTGAACTTGTCTTTCGGAGAAGGGCAGGGTCTAGAAAAGGCAGAAATGGGAGTATACTTTTTATTTCCCCCATTTCAAAAAACTTGAAATCTAGAGAATAGTACAATGAACACCTGATTACTCTTCACCAAATGTTAACATTTCGTTTTTTTTTAAAATTCAAAATAAGATGTAGACATGATGACCTTTCACCCCTAACTGCTTCAGCACGTGCCTCTGAAGAATGCCATCATCACAGCCGGTGCCAACAATGGTGGCTACGGCATAAAAAACTCTTTTGGTGAGGGGCTGGCACAGTGGCGCAGGGGTTGAGTTCACATGCTCCGCTTTGGTGGCCTGGGGTTCGCTGGTTTGGATCACGGGAACCGACCTACACACTGCTTGTCGGGCCACGCTGTGGCAGGCATCCCACATATAAAACAATTGAGGAAGATGGGCACAGATGTTAGCTCAAGGCCAATCTTCCTCAGCAAAAAGAGGAGGATTGGCGGCTGATGCTAGCTCAGGGCTAATCTTCCTCAAAAAAAACCCCAGAAATAACATAAAAAAAACTTTTGATTTTTCTATGAAAAAGGTACAGCAGGATGCAATCTAGAAAATGGAAATACAAGATAGTTCTCTCTATAGGTGTTTTTTTCATCCCTTGAGGGTGGAGGTAGGGAAGATAAATGAAATCAAGGCCATAGTTAAGTTCAGAATTAGATAGCAAGTATGTTTTATTTCGTTTGATTTGGTTTGGTGAGGAAGATTGTCACTGAGCTAACATCTGTACCAGTCTTCCTCTATTTTGTATGTGGGACACCACCACAGCATGGCTTGATGAGTGGTGCTAGGTCTGCACCTGGGGTCCAAACTGATGAACCCCGAGCCACTGATGTGGAGAGCACAAACTTAACTACTATGCCACCGGGCCAGCCCTGACAGTGAGTATGTTTTGATTAAAAATGTGAATGACAGGATGGCCTGTACTGTTTAAGGGAACCCAGCCAGAAGAACATTTGGTTTATTGTACTTCTCTCTTCATAAAGAGAAAAGCAATAGTAATAATGACAAGTAACACTAAGATTAATTATTAATAAGACTAACAAACTGAGTGCTTTACATGTGCTAGGCATCGCTCCATGAGGATTATCATTTAATTCTCACTCCTACTCTGGGGGCAGGTACTTTTATTCACACCATTTTCCAGATGAGGAAAATGAAGCTGAGAGAGGCAGGAATCACTTGCCCAAGGTAATAGGGCAGGGAAGCTGCTGAGCCAGAATTCAAGCTGGGGTATCTGCCCCCAGGTACCTGGCTAACCCTCTGGGTTAGAGGGAAGGGCTGGGCAGCCTGATGTGTGTTAAACACATCACTCTGGAGTCAGACCACCTGGGTGTGACAGTTGTTTTCATCAGCTGTTTTACCTTGGGCAAGTTACTTAACCACTCTGTGCCACAGTTTCCTCCCCTTAAACGGGGACAAAACAGAACTACTTCTGGAGCTGTTGCGAGGATTAAGAGTCAAATTCAGGTCCTACAACCCTCTCTCCCTCACGCTGGCCTCCCTGCCAGTCCCTGAAGGTGCTGCCATAGCCCGGCCTCAGGACGCTACCTGCAATGCTCTTCCCCCGCCTCAGCTCAGCTCCTCACTCCCTTCAATCTTTGCTCCAATCTCACTGTCTCTGTGAGGCTCACCCCAACCTTTCTATTTAAAACGGCAGCCTGCCTCCAACCCCACCCACACTCACTCCTGGCCTCCCTCACCCAGCTCTGGCTTCTCTTCTCCATAGCTCTCATGGCTAACGCTCCACGTGTGAGATAACAGAAAAGATGTATATTGGTCTCCGCCCCTGGTTCCTGGTACAGAGCTCCTAAAAGCCTTGTCAATTCTTAAGTGATAAGAGCACCAGGAGCATCTTCTGCTCTAACAAGGAGATGCCGGGTGGGCTCCCGGATGGGAGATGGTCACCAGAAAGACCAAGCTATGATTAAAAGCTTACTCCTCCAGAGATGGGAGAGGGGCTGAGAATGGAGTTAATAACTGATCATGCCCACGTGAGGAAGCCTCTATACAATCCCCAGAGTACTGGGTTCAGAGAGCTTCCAGGCTGGTGAACACATCAACGTCCCGAGAGGGTGGCACATCCCACCTCCACGGGGACAGAAGCGCCTGCGCTCGGGACCCTCCCAGATCCCCTCTATGTATCTGTTCATCTGTGTCCTTCATTATATTACAAACTGGTAAACGAAGGGTTCCCCTGAGTTCTATGAGCCACTCTTGCAAACTGACTGAACCCCAGGAGGGGGCTGTGGGAACCTCCAACTAGTAGCCAAGTCAGACAGAAGTGGTGGGTAATCTGGGGACTCACTGCTTGCACTTGGCATCTGAAGTGGGTAGGGGGCAGTCTCATGGGACTGAGCCCTCAACACATGGGATCTGGCGCTACCTCCAGGTAGACAGTGTCAGAATTAAGTTAAATTGTAGGACACTGAGTTAGTGTCGCAGAATTGCTAGTGTGGGAAAAACCCCACACATCTGGCATCAGAAGTGTTGTGAGCGTGGTGACACTGAGAGTAAAGGAGAGAAACACAGGGAAAGACTGAGTTTTCCCCAAAATACTATGTAACTTGCCAACTTACTATGTGTGGTGCTTACAGCCTGTCTCCACTCCCTCAAGTGCAAGTCCCAAGCACCCTGGACCAGTGCAGGGCACGTGGAGGGGGTGTGCTAAGGGCTGCTACCACCATGACTGAATGGCCCCCTAGCAAATACCTTCTTTACCATCACTCCTTCAAGGAGCCCCCCTGGCACCCCTGGCTGCAGCAGGTGCCTCTGGGACCTGCACTGAGTGCCACTTCATCACATAGAGAAAGAATTCTGCTGTTACTGCATTTGCCTTTGCCTTCAACTCCTGTCCTCGACTGGACACTGTGAAGTGACCAACACTCCTGTGTAGCTGTGTGACCTGGGGCAAGTTACTGAACCTTACTGGGCCTTTACCTTGATCTTTTACACCCAGAAAGGGCTGCTGCTTTGAGTAGATAAGATAGCATCAGGGCCAGTGCTCAGTGAAGGGTAGCTTCAATCATGGTGGTTGTCACTGTATGTGTCATCACCCACGAAGGGTAGCCCAATTGTGGTGGTTGTCATTAGCACAGGTGGGGCCAGTGCTGTGAGCTGAGTCTGGGAGACAGGCTGAGTTACCGTCCTGTCCATGCACTCTGTGGAAGTGCTCGGGTGTGTGTGTTGACTGTGCTCAACCCCTGGTGACAACATCACCTCCTCAGTTAACAATCAGTAGGAGAATGAGAGCTGTGCTGGATACTTTATATACATCACGTGCTCTCCTTTCATCTTTAGAGCAAACTGACCACGTGGGTCCACATTTTCCATTCTGAGGATGAGAAAGGGAAGATGAGCTGCCTGCTGTCACAGCAGTTTAAGTGACAGCCTGGGTTTGAGCCCCTGTCCACAGGCAGCACAAACTGCCCATTGGTGCAGGACAGCAGCCTACACAGGAAATTCCCCCGTGGTCCTCTCTGGCAGAGTTTGGGAGGTGTCCATGTGGCACCATAGTTACAAGACATTTACCTTTGTTCTATTAGAGCAGCCAAAGGACTTGGGGAGATTGGCAGCACACCAATTGTTGAGGGTGAGGGCTGTGGCTCAGTGACAAACCAAGTGGCCTGGCCTTCAAGTCTCTGACTACCCTGAGCAAGCCTTCCCTCAAGCAGAAAGACAAAGGGGCCGGCCCCAGAATCCTGGACGCCTCTATCCTGTTAGACCCCGGGGCAGGGGTGTGCTGGGTGATCTGCAGCGTCTGCTAATTTCCATGGTGTAAATACTCCCACCAGGGCCCATCGTAAGCTACCAAACTGATGTCACTGAGCACGGAGCTGGGGAGAGGTGTGCACAACAGGGTCATGTGAACCGGTGCAGGCCAGCCCCAGCACTCCAGCGCCCAGGGCCTCAGAGGATGAAGCTCTGTTCTCTGCCCGGCAGTTCTCATACTTTTTTTTTTTTAAAGATTTTATTTTTTCCTTTTTCTCCCCAAAGCCCCCCAGTACATAGTTGTATATTCTTTGTTGTGGGTCCTTCTAGTTGTGGCACATGGGACGCTGCCTCAGCGTGGTTTGATGAGCAGTGTCATGTCCGCGCCCAGGACTCGAACCAACGAAACACTGGGCCGCCTGCAGCGGAGCGCACAAACTTAACCACTCGGCCATGGGGCCAGCCCCTACAGTTCTCATACTTTTGACCAGTATCCCCGAACACTAGAGGAAGGTTAACGCCTAGTTCTGTGGTCTGGGACACACCCCAAAGCAGCTACCTCACAAGAGAAAACTCTTTTGCTGGTTGGTTCTGTTTTGTTTTGAAACATCCAGGTGACTTGTGCATCCTACGTTACAATAAATCTGAGTTTGTGGTTAATATAAAAATCAGGTTTTAAATTATTTACCAGATAAGTACATCACTTGGTTTTTCCCTTCTGATTCCTCAGGTAAGACAGATTTCTCCAGGAAGTAGCATCACGTCCATCCTGTGGTTTCTCATAGCTGTTTGCACTCAGTCATGCACCCCAAACTGGAGAAGCACGATTCGTGTCCACAAATAATTTTCTCCAAGGAACTCAGCTCTGCCGGGGAGGAAAGAACAGCAGTTTGACATTAGATAATTCTGAATTCAATGCCCGCCTCTGCCAATCATCGGCTGTGGGAGAGCTAGACGGAGCCTCAGTGTGCTCCTCTGCAGTGGGTAAAGAGCACCCGCCTCCCCCTCGGCTATTGGGAAGTTTACACGAGCTCTCTGCAGCGACTTCTCACCTTTCTTTTCCTTAAGCCAGGACACGCCACGCATTGAGAGGACCAAGGAAGACCGAGACCCACTGAAAGGGCTGTGGTTAGAATTCTCATATGGTGCTGGTTGGAGAGAAACTGGCACAACCTCAAGGGAGGGGCAATTTGGCAGCACCTTTAAGACTGAAGTTACACCTCCTTTAACCCCGTCACTTCATTTCTGGTATCCGCCTTTGGACGTCCTTGCATGTGTATGAAATGACAGGCACACAGGGTATCCACTGTGGCAGGCTCTGGAAAAAGGCAAGACAGTCCTGCAGTGAAGGGAGTGTGCCTGGAGCCAGGCTGTCTGGGACCAGCTTCTAACACTGCCATCCCCTCTGTGTGTGATTTCAGACACTCTCTGTGTCTTGTCTGGGCCTCAGCTTCCTCAACTGTAAAATGGGGCAAACAACAACGGCTCCACAGGGCTGCTGTGAAGATTAAAGGCGTGAAAACATGTAACACACTCAGAGCAGTGCCAGTGCTAAACAAACTTTAGTTATCAAGAGAGTGGAAACAACCCAACTGCCATCAATAGGAAAATGGCTAAGTGAATGTTATGTGCACAAAATGGGACACCAAGTAGACCTTTAAAAGAACAAGGTGGCACTACATCAGTGGTTCTTCACTGAGGGAGATTTTGCCCCCAGGGGACACTTTTGATGTCTGGGGACATTTCTGGTTGTCACAAGGAGGGGAAGGGTACTCCTGGCATTCAGTAGGTAGAGACCAGAGATGCTGCTAAACATCCTACAATGGACAGGATGGCCCCCAGAGCAAAGAATGATCTGGCCCAAGTGCCAACTGTGCCGAGGTTGAGAAACCTGCTCCACGTGTACTATGCGACACGATCTCCAGGATACGGGACAATGATGGGGGAAAAGGTATAGAAAAACTGCTTAGAGAAAACAAGACACAGGATATGGATGCATGAGTTTGAAAAGGCATAGACCAGTTCTGAAGGATAATCAAGAAGCTGGTAGTAGTGACTGCCCCCGAATAAGGGAACTGGGTCACCTGGCATGGGAAAGAAGACTTAGAACTCACTTTCCCTGTCTACACTCTGGCATTTTCTATCATGCATTTATAATTACCTCTTATAAACAATAACAATGCAAATAAAGAGGGTGGATCCCACACCATCTCAGGGCAGGGCTTGTCTTCTGAGTCCCCGACCATAGGGTGGGAGAGGGCTTTGAAAGACACAGAGCTAAATTCTCGGTCCCAATGAGAGGATGGCTAGAACTGGAATGGGAAAAAGCTTCAAAGAGTTACTGGACAGTGGCCATGACTCCCCTCAGGCAGACAACCAGGTCTCTCCTCTCAGCCCCAAGAACCCCTCTGATCCTGGAGGGCTGTGCTGAGCACAAGCTGGGGGCAGGTCCTGATACACCTGCAAGCCAGCCCTTTAGCACACCGGCACAGCCTCACCACTTCCGTTCAACCAGAGTGTACTTTTGCTGTACCACCTGCCAAACAGTGAAGATCACCCCTACCCTGCACCTGCCAGCCCCAGGGATATACAAAGACATGTTCTCTAAAGACCCAAGTCTAGCTGTAACAGAAAACACAGGCTTTGCACGTGAATGTGGGCCCTGCCATTCCTCTTTCATGGGAACAGATATCCCCATTTGAAGGACGGGGCTAGGAATGTCCCTATTGCAGGAAAGCACAGCTGTCAGGCCTGCCTTTGATAAGAATCGGACAGTACTGGTCACTGGTACCCTCCTCTCCCGCCACCACATTAATTTCTTCTATTCCTAGAAATCCCAAAAGAGCCCGCAAGCTCTCAGGGCTGTAGCTCTCCACCCTGTCTGTACCTTAGAATGTCTTGGAAGCTTTTCTTTTCTTCTTCTTTTTTTTTTTTTTTGGTCATGAAGAATTGACCCTGAGCTAAGATCCTCTTTTTGCTTGAGGAAGACTGTCATTGAGCTAACATCTGTGCCAATCTTCCCCTGTTTTGCAATGCGGGACACGGCCAGAGCATGGCTTGCTGAGCAGTGTGTAGGTCCACACTCAGGATCCGAACCAGTGAACCCTGGGCCACAGAAGTGAAGCATGCGAACTCAACCACTACGCCACTGGGCCGACCTGTCTTGGGAGCTTTTTAACAAATACCAATGGCTGTGCGCCATGCCAGACTAATTAATCAGAACCTCTGGGGATTGAGTCTAGGGCTTTTTTTTTTTTTTTTTTAAAGCTTTCTAAGTTGATGATAATGCAAACCCCTAGTTTAGAACCACTGCCCCAGTCTCTGAGCCTCAGAGATAGGGCTGGAGATCTGACCTCTCCAGGTCAGCATTAGAGGAGAAGAGTCTTTGTTAAGCTCAAAGCCAAACTCTTGGATTCCCTGATGAAGGGATTCCACCCAGTCACCGATGGTGGCCCTTCCTGGCTTTGGAGCTGATGGAGATGCCCATGGGAAGCTGGGTGTTGATTTCGCAAATAGCATCTGCAGTCACCCGTAATCATTTCACCCTGCTTTATTTTTCAAAATACTTATCACTACCTGTTATAAATTGAATTGTCATCTACCTACTAAATGCAAGCTCCAGGTAAGCAGGAACCTTGTCTGTCTTGTGGGTTGACTAGAACAATGCCTGGTCCACAGCAGGCACTCAACTGCTAAATAAGTGAATGTCTCTTAGAGCAGACCCAGGCTGCAGGCCATGGACACCCTTTCTTCTCATCTCAGGAACACTACCCCATGGATGGATTTTTGGGATTCTTCTCCTTGGTCTAACAGGCGAATCTAGCAAGAAACTGCACAAGCTTTAAGTCAGTACATTAAAATCCATGCTGTGCTGTGCAAAGCAGCCATGCATCTTCAGCCTGTGTCAAACGACCTTGCTATCTCGCATCTCATGACTGAAGACGCCAGCTGGAGACATTAGCAACAGGAAGAGGTAATGGGTACCTTGCTCTCACATTTCCCAGCTGCATTTCTTAGAGATTAAGGGAATAATTAACGACCCTGGTCCTTGCCTCCCTCCACACAGACAGCGTCAGCATCTCCGAACTTGTCTGATGTACAACCAAGGAATTCTTGTTTATGTATCGTCAACGTATAATCTAGAGAAAAACCAGACGTACCCTACCCCCTTTTGACATATATGAAATCTAGCTGTAAGTTTTTATTCCTCTTCCCTGCACACACACTGTTTTGTGAAAAAGATATAAGCTGCCCTTAAACTCACAGACCTCAGAGCAGTTCCAACAGAGCCCTCTTTTGACCTGTTTCCCGAGGTTTGAACTCCTCCCACTGATTAGTGAATAAACTCCTTCACTAACATCACCTAGACTCTTTATTTCAGTCAACATCCCTCTTTGACCTCTTTCCTCCAGCCCCCTCACTCCCCTCCCTATCCTCATGCCTTGGGAATGTCCACAGGGTGTCCTCATCGTGGTCCTGTACACCAATGGTTCTCAAATGGGGTGATTTTGCCCTCCAGGAAACACCTTGCAGTGACTGGAGACATTTTCACTTTCACAACTGGGGCAGGGGAGTGTGCAACTGGCATCTGGTGGGAAGAGGCCAGAGATAATGCTAAACATTCTATGACGCATACGACAGCCCCTGCCCCAAACAAAAAATTATCTGGGCCAAAGTATCCACAGTGCCGAGGCTGAAAAACCCTTGTCTCTACATAGAGACATCTCCAGACCCCGGTGTTAATCAGAAAATACCCCAGCCTCGGCCCTGTCATTTCCCAGTTCAGGCCTTCACCCCACAGGTTCCCTAGGGACATTTCCATCCAGGAAGACTCTCTATTCCTGGTCTCCACCCCCCATACCAACCCACCCCCCTCCCCCGCCCGCCTAGAGCCCTCCCAGGAATTATGACTACAAAATTCTGAATCTAAGCTATGACCTAGACTTTAGGGTTATTTTATCTGTTAACCTGAAACCTCTACTCTGGGGCTCAATTCTCTGCCTTTCTTCCTGTGGATTCTATTCTCTGGGATCCTTACTGTTATTATGTTAATACAAGTATCATTTATATGTTGTTTGCTTGTGTCAGGCGCTGTTCTACTTAATGCTCACCACAAGCCTGGGACTGATACTATTATTATCCCTGTTTTGGAGGTGAAACTGAGGGGCAGCAAATTTAAGTAACCTCTCCCAAAGTCACACAACTAGTGAGTGATGGAACCAGGAATCCCAGAGTCCATGCTCTTCCTCCCCCGAGCTACACTGGTTAGGAAGGTGACACGCAACCATACCCAGCCACACCAGCCTCAGGTCCCAGAGGCCAAGAGGGGCTGCGCCCTCCCTTCAAAAGCACACTAAGGCCCAAGCAGACAATGGGTAAGTGTGTGGCTGGGCTATGGAGGGCACCGCTGCTCACGTGGGAGAGGTCAGACCCCCAGCTTCGAGGACAAACACCCAGTCTCAAGTTCAGAGATGAAAACCCCTCCAGCATTCACCATAAGCCCCTGTCTCTGCATGGGGTCAAAGAACAGAGACCACCAGCACTGAAACAAACAGCCAGCACCCACAGAGCGCTTAGTGAGCGGCAAGCCCTGAGCTGGGCGTTTCACCCGTGTTACCCCATTTAATTTTCCCAACACCTAGGCCAAGTGCTGTTTCCATCTACGTCACCAGGGGGAAAGCCCGGCACCACGGCGCGCACACTCCCGTTCCCAGAGCCCATCGCACCTGTGCGGCCCTCAGCCTCCTCCCCGCAGGGCCCCTGCCAGTTACAGGGGGACAGACAGCCGGACAGCACGATCACACAGCCGCCGAACCACAGTCACCCAGTCAAATTAGTCACGCCAGACTGTGGTAAACGACACGTGTCACACAAAGCGCTCCAAAACACAAGTCCTCAGAGCCACACTCTCATGCCCACCCCCGCCCGCTACAGGCGCAGTCACTTCTTCCTCACAAGCACCACGGACCACGCATGAGACACCCGGTCCCGAGACCCGCTCGTCACCACGCGGGCTGCCTCCGTCACAGACACACAGCCACCGACGCCCCCTCGTCACCACGCGGGCTGCCTCGGTCACAGACACACAGCCACCGACGCCCCCTCGTCACCAGGAGCGCTGCCTCTGTCACAGACACACAGCCACCGACGCCCCCTCATCTCCCAGCACACCCAACGTCATCACACGTTTCGAATATCCAGTCCCGGTCCTTCACCTCCCACTCGGCCCACCACACAACCAGACGCGAACCGCACACGCGGCCGCAGGCGCAGAGCCCCTCAGAATCTTAGGGAACAGCCCCACAGGTGGTCACCGGCCCCAACCCCGCGTAGTGTCACCACGCTACGCAGTCTCGGGCCCACGACCCCACAAGCTGTCACACGCCGGCAAGCCCACGCAGCCGCGAGCACAGACACACTCGCACAGACACACGCCCACACCTACGCTCACCTCCCTCCTCCCAGGTAGCGTCCCGGCGGCGACCACTCGCACCTCCGCGCAGGCACCGCTCCCCGCGTCCGCCCCGCGCGCCTGCGCACTCCCCTCCGGGACCCCAGAGCACCGCTGGCCCCGCCCCCTCACACGAGCAACACGTAGGCGGGACGCGGCCCCACCCCCAGGGCTTCCCCCAGAGCGCAAGGCCCCGCCCCTAAACAAAGCCACGCGGCGCCCACGCACTCACGCTCTCCCCTCCGGGAACCGTTCCACAAGAAGGGGCCTGAGGCCCCGCCCCTCACACGCAACAGCGCCCGCAGGCACGCTCACGCAATCAGAGCCACAGGGGGGTGGGGTCGCTCGCGCGCCAGCCCGAGGCCCCGCCCCTGCACAACACACGTAGCACGCACGGCCGCGCGCACGCGCAGGGCCTATTTTGCGCTCCCCCGGGGCCCCACTCCTCATTCCCCGTAGGAAGTCACGGAGGCGTCTTCTGGCACTGAGGCCTTTGCTAGATCTGTTCAACCAAACCCAGCCTCCACCCTCCGCAATTCGTTGCTGTCCTCGGCTTCCACGCCTGCACGTTCCCGTCCCGTTTGGGGGCTTCTCCCCCTAGGACCCTCCCCGTTGTCCCCCGGCCTCAGCTGGACTTAGAGCTGGGCTCACCCGCGCTTGCGCACTTGGAGCTCAGGCTGCAACTCCCAGAAGCCTGTGGGGCGCGGCACGGCTCTGGTCGGCCAGACCCAGACGTGAGGTTGAGGAATCCCGGCCCGCAGTGGCTCCGATCTGTCCGGTCCGTGACGAAGTGACCCGCGAGAGGGGCGGAGGGATGTTCGTCCAGGCTGGAGTGGAAATCTCACTTACGCCTTCATTGAACGAAGAGCCCCAGAATCCTTTGCGCGCCGCCGTTCCGTCCGTCAGACTACATTTCCCAGGAGACCCTGCGTGTGGTGACGGGGAGGTGCGTCAGCCCGGCTGGCTGGTGGGCGGGGGCGGGCTGGAACTGCGGTGGCGCTGAAGTTAAGCGCAGTGCCATCGTGAGTTTCAGAGGGAACGTGTGAGGTGTGGACCTGCCTCTATCGTCTGGGCGCGCGAGTCCCGGGGTGTGATTGTGCGTTTGTGCTTCTGGGCCCCAAGTTGTGTTAGTGTGTATACGTGTGAAGATGAACGATTGTTTGTGAGCGTGTGTGACCCTGCTTTTGTGGTTGTGTGCTGTCGACTGAAGTAGAGTCTGGGTGAAGGTTAATTAAAGGAGTCTATTTGATAATCCAGGTGAGGAATTCAATCCTGGGAAACAGTCCGACAGAATATTCGGAGGAGCTGCTGCCGGTGTGTGAGTTTAGGTGCAGCGCGCGTCTCTCACGAAACAGTGTACGTGCAGGGGAGAGGGGAAAAGCTTACAAGGAGGTTTCATGTATGTCAGAAAAGGATGGGGTACGTCTGGTTTTTCTCTAGATTATACATTGATGATACATAAACAAGAATTCCCTGGTTATACGTCAAACAAGTTCAGAGATGCTG